GGGGGATCATGGTGTTGAAGGCGGATGTGAAGTCCACAAAGAGCATACGGACGTAAGAGTTTTTCTGCTCCAGGTGGTTGAGTGCAGTGTGGACCACAGAGGAGATTGCATCCTCTGTTGATCGGTTCTCATTTATCATGCGATTAATTGATTTATCGTTTATCGAGACAGGCCCAGAGGACTTAAAAAAAATAGATTGTGTCCGGGACGAACTCTGACACTGACTGCATACCAGGATCGTCTTTGCCATGTAAAGCACATTTTGTATTTGTAGTTTTTATTGTCTGAATTAATATGCAAACATCATGATGGTCTGGTTCCTACGTTGGTGGTTTTCAACGTAAACATTTTTTAGATGCGAGTCATTTTTAAATGTTGAGAAACTGACAGGATGTCTTTGAACAATGAAATGCATTTGTAAAAAAACAACAACTGGCTTTCTGCATATGTGGTCCTCAGTGACAGCTTTGTTGAACTTTTGAGTCACCGCGGTCTTACTGAAATGTTCCTACTGAAAGGGCCTCGACCTATTTCAAAAACCTACTCACTGAGCTGTGCTTGGTGACTTCCATTGTGGTTAAAAATGTCATAAATAATAACTAAATATTAAACAAGAGTGCTAACATTTATTGCTTTTTGTTATGAAAACTACAGCAGAACGGAATGATCTTGGATTGTGTAATCTCATTTAGTTTTGCTATCGTTGCTACAGATTTGTGAAGATTATATGATGGAAAAAAAGAGTGCTGTATTCCAAAATAATGTAGTAAAAACAAAAAAGCATTGTTTTTGTTTTAGCCTTATCTGTGTTAAAGATCTCAGCAATAACTGTGTTTGTCAAGATAATAATAGTTAATATTAACTTTTTTATTATTTTCTGTTGGGTTGTTTTAAGTCTCCAGATGCATACTTTGGTCTTCTTCACTGGATGGATACAACTCTGTCCTTTTATTAAGACAGTTTTATGTTTTGATGGTCTTTTATTAGAGAAAAATGAAACGATGACATCAAATGAATTGGCCTCTTTATTCTTTTTTCTTTTGACAACACTTTCTTCCAACGCAGTGACCTATAACTTTCCCAGTGTTTCTGTAGTTCTAGTTTTTGAACAGTTAATCTTTTTCTGGCGTTGTTAGATCCTGTCTCAGTGTAGGTCTGCCTCCTGTCAACACAACTCTTCCTGCCATTTTTAAAACCAACATATCTTTTTCCTGAAATCTCAAAAGTCTGATGGTCAATGCAATAATTACAAGTTTGCACCATTACTCTTGATAAGTTTAACGAGGAATGTCAAGAAAGGGATTTGTCTCTTATTTCTGTACTCCATTAAAGGAACACAACAGGTTATAGTTTACATTCAAGGTTGAATTTCACAGCATAGATTGAACACGTTTTTTTACCAGTAAGTTTGATCCTGATAAAGGCAGTTTGCACGTTGTGCACATCAGAGACCTTGAACTGGAGTTGTTGTTTTGCCTCGCATGTTTTTTAACTTTTCTATTTTGTGTCCAATTGCAGGAGAAACTACAAAATATGCTCTCCTGGGGAAGAAAGTTCACTTGAGTACAAACATCCAACCTTTTCCAGATGAAATTCTGTGGAAGCATAATGGGAACAAAGTGATAGAGTTTAATGGCAACAAGGAAGATGTATATGGTTCCTATAAAGGCAGAGTCACCCTCGACTGGATTTCTGCTGATCTGAACATTAGTGATGTCAGATTTGAAGACAGTGGAGCATACGAGTTGGAATTATTCATTAACCAAAAAATGCATTACATCAATTATAATCTGCAAGTCATTGGTAAGTTCTTATTTTTACTTTTTTCCCCCAACAATCTGCATTAATACCTTCATTCTTTAGATTGAGGGCAATAGGTAAAAATTGTTACTCCAACTGCTGATATAATAATATTTGATCGTTTTTTTAATTTTTTTATTACACTTTTACCTTTTGTTTTGTTTTTTTGAATGTCCAGAGGACCAGATTTAACTTTTTTTTAGATTTTTCTACCTGGATTATTGAGCATGCATCAGGAGACTTTTACCTTTTGTTGTTCAAACATGATAAATAAACAGTTTACAGCCCAAAGTGTTACAAGAGATGTTGAATAGAGTTTGTCAGGAGACATTTGAGGCTATGAAACTAATTATTAAAGTTATCTCAGCTTATCACTAAGATTTCTGACAACCCAAAAATAGTTTGTTTTATAGATTCAACACAAAAAATAAATACTGTAGGTGAAGACGGTTAACACAAAACAGAGATTTTGTGTTCCAGAGCAAAATATTAACTGGTCCAATTAATTAATTAAATAATTAAGATAAATAATGACAAAATATTTTATTTTAGGCTGTAAGTCAGTGCACAAAAACTTCAATAAAAAGCCATTTTAATGAATTCAGGCCGTGACTCCTGTGTCAGTGAACAGAAGTCAAATCATAATAAAGTTTATAGAAATATGTTGCTGCTTTTTGATCCAGTACTTAAGTAAACACTCTGAATTGTTCCAAAACAAGTTTTATTTGAGATACCGTGGTACTAGTACTTAAGCACGTAGTACCAACTGAGCGTTTGTAGTCTTTTGTGTTTTTAGTCAGATGTATGACTTTATTTTTATAAATCAAGAGAATGGGGCAAAATGTAAAACTTGACTTCAGAGCATCTGTAAATCTATTAGAACTTTAGCTTCACCCATCAATTTTATCTGATTTAAAATTATTAATACAGGAAAGAAATATTCGGTCCGGTCTGTTTTCTTAAGATTTTTTTTTTTTTTTTTTTTTTTGGCAACACCTTTAGGAATCAGAATTATTATTATTGTTGAAACAAATTCAGTTTATTATGCTAACTCACAACAAGTTATCTAAGGGCACTATACAAAAACGGTTATCTATCCATTATCTTTATCCGCTTCTTCCTTTTCGGGTCACAGGGCTTTATTCACGTGTTGGGTCCAGAACTCGGTGGTCCTAAAGTTTATCCATCCCCATCTTTATCATTTTCAGAACTTTGTCTATCTGGAGTTGTTGAATCATGTAAATGCATCTGGATTTGCCCATCCCTGCCAACTTCATTACTTTTGGGAAGTAACCATGTCTTTATAAACTCTTCTCGCCATGGTTCGATGATGGGGCCCAAGTGCAACAATATTAACTCCTGTAACTATACATCTGCTACAAAAAGCACAAGGAAATGTCTACTAATACTGTTGTTACTGTTGTCCAGGATACAACCTAATCCTGGACCTCTTGCACATTACAACACACCAGAAGATTTTAAAAACATTTCAGGACTACACTTCTTGCACATTAATGCACGTAGCCTCCTTTTTAAAATTGACATGTTGAGGATTTTGTTCTGTTCAACTGGTGCTGATTTAATTGCTATCTCTGAAACCTGGTTTTATACCTGGATTATTGAGCATGGACATATTTAATACCTACTGTTCTGATCGTCAAAGTAAGGGAGGTGGGGTTACAATTTGTATCAGATCAAGCCTGGCTTCTCACCTGATGTCTGCTAAAACACTCTCAAATCAGTTTGAAATCCTGACAATAAACATTCATTTGCATGGAGGCCAGACTTTTATCTGTTGTGGGCTGTTACCACCCCCACCCCCCAGCAACATCTGAGGCCCTATCATCTTTAATGGACTTCCTAACAAATTTACATTTCAATGAAATTGTTCTTGCTTGAGACTTCAACCTAGACTGGAAGTCTCCAGTGTCTGAAGAATTAGAAAATGTAGTTTGTCACTCAATCTCACTCAAATCATTGACACCCGGTAGTACCCACCCAAACAAAAAATGCCTTGAAAGATCGTTTATTTGAGACCTCTTTTTAACAAATATGCCTCATAAATTTCCTGGGTTGGGTGTTTTTGCTGGTGACATGAGCGATCACTGCGTTGTTGATGTCATCAGAGACACTAAACTGCCACACACCAAGCCCAGACTAATTAAAAAAAGGGACATAAAATGTTTCAGTGAACAGGCCTTTCTTGGGGATGTGTTTCTTTTTGACTGGCAACATATTTTCCAAACTGATGATGTGAACACTGCTTGGAACTACTTTCAGAACAGTTTCATCTACTTTGTAAATAAACATGCCCATTTTTGCCAGTTCATAAGAAAAAAATGAGGGAGATCCGCTTTGGACAACAGCCAGACATTCTGGCTCAGACACTGATTGGTTGCATTTTCGACAGCTGCAGAATCATTGTACAGCTTCCATCAAAGTTGCAAAACGTAAGTACTTCTTATCTCAGACCGCCAATGATTTAAATGACCCTAAAAGATTATGGAAAACCATCAAATCACTTTCCGACAGCTGTAGTGGACTAGGCCTACGTCGAAACTAAGTCTAAGGTCAAAACTCTTGACCTTTAGAACCTTGTGGGACAGGAACTGTCATTTCATGTATTTGAATACATAAATACAGGTTCACCCATCCTGAGACTTTCTTTCTTGAAGATTCAAGTGAAAAGAACACTCTCTTTTTATTATCATTACTATCTTACAAATGTTGATAATCAAAGTGTCTTAGTTCAAACCATTTTAGATGTTGCAGTGAACTAATCAATTTTATTAACTGAGTAATGATTTTTATTCTCATGTTAAAAGCTGTTGCAGAGTAATTATGCATTTTTCTGATTTCTGCTTTTGAATGAGCAAGTGTGTGCGTTTACAAGGTTACAGTCAAACGAAAAACAAGTTGTTATGTTAAAACTGTCATGTTTTAGAATCCTCTCAGACGTAAATAGAGATGTTTTGCACCTGTTTCTTAAACACGCCACAACAAAACCCTCTCGGTCTGTGAGAACATTTCTGAGCTGTCCCATAACAATTCTCGCTGTCTCTAACCTCTTACGTCACAAAACCCACCCCGTCTGGTCGTTTCTGACCAATGAAAAATCCCAAAAAGTGAACCGGGAAAGAGTCTTTAAAATGTCAGTACTTCCTGGTCTACACGGACTCACAGACTCACGGAGTTACAGACTCAGAGAGTTGGAGAGTTGTCGGAGTTCTAAGAGTTCTGAGAGCGTAGAGTTCGGTGAGAGTCTACTCAAGTTCTGCTGAGTTCTGATGGAGTGCTGTTGGAGTTCCTGACATGACAACAAAGCTCTCCCGAGTTCCATGGGATTATAACATTTTCCACTGAGGTGAATATGTGTCGAACAGAGCCTCGCCATTACTTCGGACGAGTAACAGCATCCTACTGAGACGCTGAAAGGGTGCGTTAAACGGAATCTCACCTGAGACATCTCCAGGTAAAGGAGCCGATTTCATCACCTAAGTGTACTGTAAGGAAAAGCTGAAGAAAGCCGGAGAGTGTCGATTCTGGTGAACACTTAATTTCCCTCACATACCATCTTAACTCCCTCTAAACTTCTTTTCATCTTTAACTTTCTATCAAGTAGAAATTCTCCCAGATATTTAGAAATGTCTGTGTAAAATGCTCACCCACATTCATGTGGGCAAAAGATCATAGTTGTACAGTTTTCATAAATGTCTTTGGTGCAGCAACGGAAAAATCATGGCCGTATGATTTTTCTTGATTGATTGCTTATATTGTTATTTTCATAATTTGCCAAATTAATGTAAATGTTTGATGTTAAATTTGATTCTGTAAATAAATGACCGCATTCATTTTGATGGGTCAAATATAAATGACGTCTCACTTTGCATTTCCTTAAATTCAATGCACGTTTTATTCAGTCCAGAAAAATGAGGAACCCGCGTTAAATGATGAATATATCCCAGCATCTGTTCATCTACACAGCTCTTATTCATCTGATTTGCCACCACAACTACTTATTAACGCTGTTCCTGTGTCAAATAAGCATGAAATTCTAAACTGTTTCAAATAGATATTTCATTGCTGCTAGTTCCTTGTTTTCCCGAGTTACTAAAGGAAAACCAGCTACTTCTCCTTTAAGCCAATCATCTACAAATCAAATCTCTCCTCTTCAGTAAATCACATCTTTTCATTTTCACTGTTTTCTGTTAGTGAGGTTAACAAATTGTTAAAAGGTCTAGACCCTAGAAAATCTGCAGGCTCTGATGACCTTCCTCCTTATTTCTTAAGGATGACTGCACACATCATTGCAGAACCAGTGTCTCACACCTTTAATCTGTCCATAACCCAAAATACCATTTAAAACGCCAGGAAAACAGGTTTTCTTCTACCTTTGCTGAAGGGAGGAGACCCCACCATACTGAACAAATATTGATCGATCTCTAAACTCTGTATTCTTGATAAGGTTTTAGAACAATTGATAAACTCCCAAGTTAAGATGTATTTGGATTCTTTGAACATCTTACCTCCCCATCAATCATATTTCAGAAAACAACACGGCAAAATACCAAAGTTCATGCTCATTAATCTAGGTATAAATCCAACAATGCTCAGTCAGGTCATCTGGACGGTTTCTTTTGTTGCTGAGACATTTTGTCCTTCACCCGAAGGATTTCTTTAGTCTGAGGGGCCCACCAAATCAAACTGAATCCCACAAACGGCTCACTCCCAGAATGGAAAAAACAGTTTACTGGTGATAATATGGCTTCCAGGGTCCGCCCTCTCCCCGTCAACTCCTCTAAAGGCAGCCATGCCAAAGTGGTTCAAAACACCAAAGTTCATGCTCATTAATCCAGGTATATCCTGCAATGTTCAGTCAGGTCATCTGGATGGTTACTTTTGTTGCTGAGACGTTTCGTCCTTCATCCAAAGAGCTTCATCAACATGAGCTTGCTGAAGATTAATGAGTCTCTTGCACAGTGATAGCTGGATATGGGCACCAGTGGCCCCCGAGACCCGAAAAGGAAGAAGCAGGTAAAGATGATGGATGGATGGATAGTGGTTAAAGTTGTGTTTTTCATGTAAATGTTTTTTGGTCATATGTCCTGTTTTTGAGAAGCTCTTTGTTATTATGGAATTGTATTGTTGAACAGCTGCGGCAGATGATCTCCATAAAACTAGAAATTAATTTCTTGTTTTGTTTTTGCATTCATATATTTGGCTTTATGTATTTACTCAGACAAAGTAACCAGACCCAGCATCTCCTGTGAGAGGATCCCAGCAAATGGCTCAAGTGAGTCAGGATACCAGGCCACTCTGACATGCTCTGCAGAATCCAAACAGTCTCAGTCCTTGTTGAAGTTTAACTGGGGCCCAAATGGAAATATGCAGCTCGGTCCAAAGTTGGTAATACCTCTTGGGAATGAACATGACGCTCAAGTGTACGACTGCACTGTGAGCAACCCGCTCAGTAAAGAATCTGAAACATTCACTGCCAAGGAGTGCTATCCTGGTAAGACTTTGACACTTTGTGTTTAAAACTCAGATAAGGGATGAGTGGATGGTCTGTTGCATTTTACACAGCCAGTAATAATGAAACTAATTATCTGTGTAAAGGTAGTATAAAAAATAACTTAACCTTTGATTTTCAAATTACGTATTTAAAGTATGTTAATACATTTAAAGTAATTGCATGTTTCGGTGATGTGTTTGGTGCTAAAATATTAAAAAATTTTGTTTCTTCCCAGCAAACGGCTTATTACCACTGATTGTTGCCGCTGGTGTCTTAATACCGATTGTGCTCGTGCTCGTGGTTGTGTTCGTTGTGCTCTATAAAAAAGGTACAGTCACAAAATATTTATTTTACCTAAATAATAGATAAAATTATAAATAAAATGTATCCATCAGGATCTGACCCATCTGATCCAGACAAAATAAATTCACCAAAGTACTTAAGTTCTAAAAGCTAAAAGCTGTGAACAACTTCTAAGAAAATATTTTTTTTGTTATTTAAAGGTTAATTTGGGGGTGGGGGTGAGGGGGGGGGGCATTGTACCCCACAAAGCTATTTATGTGCAATAACAATCAATAAACTTGCTTTTATTGAGTTTCAGCTTCATTAACGAAATGAAACCAAATTATTTTGTTGTTTTGTTGATTTTGTTTATTTCAGGCTGTTTCAAATGTAAGAAGACAAATGATTTCGAAAAACAGCAAGGTTCTGTAATCAAAACAGGTATGTTGTTGTATTTCTTCTGTTTTAGTTGCAAATAACAAACTTTTACCTCTGTAGAATAATGATCAATAACAAATTTATTGCTTTTATTTGTTTTGAAACCTTTTTTTAGAGTGAGAAAACATACAGCCTGTGAACAGCCTTTAAAAGTGTCACAGCAGTTTAATGCAGCATATTTAAAATGGACATATTGAAGCAGCGTCTCCTGCAACAATCATTTAGTAACTGATCCATAATTAAATTTATGTGGCTGTTTGATTTTAACTAAATGATCAGTAAAAAGAAATATAGACCGTTTGTCTGCTCTGTTTCTACATTATGCACCACTGATTTTTCAGTCAAATTTATGAAAATCCTCTGTGATTATTTAGTTCTAACAAATTTCTCTGTGTATTTCATGATGTTTCAGATATTGAAAAGGGCGATGAGGAAAGTCAGACTCTCTTGGGCCGACAGCCCACCCTGCTTTCAAACCAGCCACTAAGCCATTTAGTCCAAAGCAATAAAGACTCTGCTCTCACTCAGAATGGTAAAAAACAAATTGTTGCACACTTTGATATTTTTTAAACGACTTACTTTTAGTATCAAATGTGTTTCTGAGCTACAACAGTGACAAAACCTGAGTTTGAAAAGAGTTCATTTTCTTGTTTTGTTTTATTGAGATACTGCGGTTTTTGATAAGACGGTCTTTAGGTAAATGACTGCAAGATAGAGGAGTATAAAATGTTTGTACAGAAATTTGAAATTTACATGAGAGCAAAAATACATGCATTTATAAATAAATCACATTTGAAGATGCAACAAAATGGTTCACAAATCTGCAGGTTTTTTAAGTTCTAAAAATGTTAAGACTGGTCCTCTGGACATTCAAAAAATAAAACAAAGCAAAAAAAATAAAATAAAATTAGAAATGTTTCATTTTTCATCTGAAAGACTTCTTCAGTCTGAGGTGCTGTATTCAGATCAGTCTTATAAACTGAGGACCAGACTTAACTTTTTTTAGATTTTTCTACCTGGATTATTGAGCTTGTATCAGGATATTTTTTTTAAGTTCTTTTAACTAGTTTTAAAAGTACAGGTCCTTCTCAAAAAATTAGGATATTGTGATAAAGGTCATTATTTTCCATAATGTAATGATAAAAATGAAACTTTCATATATTTCATATTCATTGCACACCAACTGAAATAGTTCAGGTCTTTAATTGTTTTAATACTGATGATTATGGCATACAGCTCATGAAAACCCAAAATGCCTGTCCCAAAAAATTAGCATATCATGAAAAGGTTCTCTAAACATGCTATTAACCTAACCATCTGAATCAACGACGTAACTCTAAACACCTGCAAACGATTCCTGAGGCTTTTAAAAACTCCCAGCCTTGTTCATTACTCAAAACCGCCATCATGGGTAAGACTGCCGACCTGACTGCTGTCCAGAAGGCCATCATTGACACCCTCAAGCAAGAGGGTAAGACACAGAAAGAAATTGCTGAACCAATAGGCTGTTCCCAGAGTGCTGTATCAAGGCACCTCAGTGGGAAGTCTGTGGGAAGGGAAAAGTGTGGCAGAAAACGCTGCACAACGAGAAGAGGTGACCGGACCCTGAGGAGGATTGTGGAGAAGGGCCGATTCCAGACCTTGGGGGACCTGCGGAAGCAGTGGACTGAGTCTGGAGTAGAAACATCCAGAGCCACCGTGCACAGGCGTGTGCAGGAAATGGGCTACAGGTGCCGCATTCCCCAGGTCAAGCCACTTTTGAACCAGAAACAGCGGCAGAAGCGCCTGACCTGGGCTACAGAGAAGCAGCACTGGACTGTTGCTCAGTGGTCCAAAGTACTTTTTTCGGATGAAAGCAAATTTTGCATGTCATTCGGAAATCAAGGTGCCAGAGTCCGGAGGAAGACTGGGGAGAAGGAAATGCCAGAAGTCCAGTGTGAAGCACCCACAGTCAATGATGGTCTGGGGTGCCATGTCAGCTGCTGGTGTTGGTCCACTGTGTTTTATCAAGCGCAGGGTCAATGCAGCTATCTATCAGGAGATTTTGGAGCACTTCATGCTTCCATCTGCTGAAAAGCTTTATGGAGATGAAGATTTCATTTTTCAGCACGACCTGGCACCTGCTCACAGTGCCAAAACCACTGGTAAATGGTTTACTGACCATGGTATTACTGTGCTCAATTGGCCTGCCAACTCTCCTGACCTGAACCCCATAGAGAACCTGTGGGATATTGTGAAGACAAAGTTGAGAGACACAAGAACCAACACTCTGGATGAGCTTAAGGCCGCTATCGAAGCATCCTGGGCCTCCATAACACCTCAGCAGGGCCACAGGCTGATTGCCTCCATGCCACGCCGCATTGAAGCAGTCATTCATGCAAAAGGATTCCTGACCAAGTATTGAGTGCATAACTGAACATGATTATTTGAAGGTTGGCGTTTTTTTTAATTAAAAACACTTGTCTTTCATTGGTGGGATGAAATATGCTAATTTTTTGGGACAGGCATTTTGGGTTTTCATGAGCTGTATGCCATAATCATCAGTATTAAAACAATTAAAGACCTGAAATGTTTCAGTTGGTGTGCAATGAATCTGAAATATATGAAAGTTTCATTTTTATCATTACATTATGGAAAATAATGACCTTTATCACAATATGCTATTTTTTTTAGAAGGACCTGTAGTTATGTAATTTCAACTTTTTTTTTTTTTACAAAACAAAATAAGATCGCAAAAAAAAAAAGTTACAACTCCACTGGTACTTGTAATGGTAAATTAACTTTGCTGGTTGGGACATTTTACAGATCCGTTTATAAAGGAGCCGAAGCAGATCATTCGCAAGTGTTTATCTGCAGGTGAGCTTCTCATTAGATAAGTTTCTGCACCAGTACCATTAAATGGTAAAACTGGTAAATGGACTGTACTTTTTTAGTGCTTTTCTTGCCATCCATGCTTCTCAGAGTGCTTTGCAGCACAATCTTCTCATTTACCAATCCACACATATTCAAACAACACTCTACTACACCTCTACAAAGCTACTTTGAGTAAGTCCTTCTATTCCATTCTAACACTTCATCCATCCATTATTTTTATCCACTTCTGCCTTTTCGGGTCGTGGGGGTCACTGGTACCCATGTCCAGCCATCACTGCGAGAGGCGAGGGACACCTTGGACAGATCTCCAGTCCATCACAGGGACACACATAGAGACAAACGAACCAAACAACCATTCACTCTCTCACTCACACCTAGGGACAATTTAGAGTTACCAATTAGCCTAATATGCATGTTTTTGGTCTGTGGGAGGAAACTGCAGTACCCAGAGAAAACCCATGCATGCACAGAGAGAACATGCAAACTCCACCCAGGAAGGTCCCAGGTCAGGATTTGACCTGGCAACCTTCTAACTGAGAGGCAGCAGCTCCACAAACTGAGCCATCGTGCTCTATTTCATTAAACTGCCACAATTTCATTCAAATAGTTTTTGATATTTTACAGTTTATTCTTTACTGTTTATGTTCAGAGAACAAAAGCCAGGACCTGAACAATTCATCCTCTTCTCCTGCACCTGCAAAACCTGCTCGATCACAGGATCTTTCTACAGATGACCAAACTCAAGCTGATGTAAACGAGCATGAAAACACTTGTAAAGGAAGCTCTGAGCCTAATCCTGCAGACTCTGTGAAAACTGGTAATGCTGCATTTGATAAACAAGGTAAGTAAACACAGTTGGATTTTATTTTTTTTACAGATTTTAAATGTATGCTGTTTCAACTAGATTTCCAATTAATTTAAGATATTTGTCATAAAGTATATTTAAATGTGCAACGTGGCACTTGAATAGATTATTCACACAACAACGGACGTGTTTTTTTGTAACATTGTGGGACATAACTCTTCAGCTTTTTGACCATTTCGTCAAACAAGTAACGGTTGTGTGGACAGTCCCACATAACTATGACAGGACAGTATTAGGCTAGTTAATCAGTATTATTTACCTTTTGGTGAGAAATGTGTTTTTGTGTCACAATAATGGCAACATCTCCTCTGGTTCTCGTTCAAGATGGCTGCCTCTGCTCTCCCACCCCCTGTTGTCCTCTTCCTCTTGCTTTTTCACTTTGTGTGTCTTGGAGCTCCTGGTATACACCTCCCAAATGATAAAAAAAACACTGTTATGGATCTGGTGAGCTGGACTTTAAACACAATCAACAAAATCTTTTCAACAAAACCACAGGGTCCTGGAGAACCCTGGTGTCAAGCTGAGACTCACGCTGCGGGGTACATCAGAGATCTGGCAGCTGATGTGTCTTTCAGTTCTGTCTCAGGAGGATGCCAAAGACGTTTATATATTTGGATGATAGCAGGGTTTCTGCTCTTTGGCATTGGCAAGTCTCTGTTTGATCAACTTTTGAAAAAGAAATCGGCTGCAGTTTCGGCCATGACAAAGCTTCAGAGTCTGTGTGAAGGTTTAGTTCGTGCCACGAGGACTCAAAATCAGCTGATTTATGAATTAAACCATAAGATGGAGGCAAAGTATGAGAATCGCAGGCCACCTGCGGCTTGTAGGACTCGCCAGCATGTTGGGATCGACCTTGAAGAAGGCTCATAGCATGGATCAGTAGAGTGGAATGCCCATAAATCTGGCCATTTTGGATCGGGAAAGTTTCAGCCGTACTCAAGGCTAACAAGTAAAAACAGTTTGCCTGAAGAAAATCAACAGTTATGGCTTATCTGAATCTGACTCCCCCGTTTTGCCTTGGATGCGAGCCGACTATCAAATTTCTCCTGGGACATGGGTAACTAGCGAAAAAAAACTTAATCTGTTAATCTTAATCCAAGAGCTTGGAGATAGTGAGAAATGTGGCTCGTGACAGCGGGAGAGCCAAGATCGTACCCCGGCACCTGCAGTTAAGTCCGTGGAGCCGAGGGGCTCAGCATGCTGCTGGGAGAAATGGCCATTGCTCAGGGAGGAGTTTTGCCCGGCATTCAGGCTGTCCTGCTGCCCAAGAGTACCAAGAGGTCTGCTGGGTCTGGGTGGACGGATCGGCATCTGCAGCCAGTTTCTTCAGCTCTGCTGTGGGACGGACTGCTTCCTGCCCACAGCCATCGGAGTCAGAGATTCTTTATTGTCATTCACACCTCATGTGGTACATGTGGTGGAGCGAAATTATGTACACAGGGTCCCAGTTACATCCAACAATAAAATGTAAAAGAAAAACAATGGTAACATCTAAGATTTGAACTAAGATAAACATAAACTAAATATACACTAAGCACTAATAGCATAAAAACATTACGTCGAACATCAGCACAAACATGAACATGAGTCTGTGAGCAGATGAGCACGCATGAACACATCAACATTGAAACAGATCAGCAGCAACATTGAAACAGATCAGTAGCAACATGATGTGATTTTTTTCACAGTGAATATTCTGGTTAGAGATTCATGAGTCTAACAGCCTCAGGGTAGAAGCTGTTCCTCAGTCTAGTGGTTC